GAGGCCACAGAGGCCGTGGAAGACTTGCTGCCGCAGATCTCCGCGTGGCTTGCGATTGGGTTTTTGGAAGACGCATCGTGGGCGAGAGGGAACAAGGGAGGTTTGAAGATGTCTGAAGGTTTGTCTCGGGATGATACTGATTCCCTTCATCAGTATAGCCATAAACTTACCTTTCCCTCCCACTTTGGGGGTGGGATTCGGGCACTCTTTGGGGTCTTCATTCCAAAGCGTCCAGGTGGATCGGTGGATCAAACTGGCGACACATGTGGGTTTGGCGGGTGGTTCTTGTTTGAGCCAAGCCCCAGCTACTAGTTCCGTTGCTCCAAACTTTTAGTGTTCGCCAATCACCCACTTCCGCACGGAAATCAGGAATATGTGGCGGATGAGTGCCGGTTTGTTGAGCCACCTTCGGCAAACGTCCGACTGGGGCGCCAAAAGGATCCTTGAACATGTTGGAACCTCACCCTGCATGAAACATAAAGAAACAGACACACTTTGACATTGGTTTTCAGTTAGCTCAATTCCCAGGTCGAAAATGGTGAGGGAACGGCAAGGCGAAAAGGTCGGCGAAAACTGTATGGTTGAACAATGTTTGCAATCTGACACACAAGCGCGAGAAAAAGGTTTGGGGGACGTATCATGAACCACCATGGAATCAAAACAGAAGGATTGGAACAGCGTACTCAACCGTTGAAGCAGGTACAGGTGGATGATCAGTCCACCCCTCCCTCGTCATACCGTAGCTTCATTGCGTGCGGTGGGTATGACGAGCCGTGAAAACATGGAAAGCCCTTAGGGACAGGGTTTGACACACGCACGGTGCCGCTTTGCGGCGCTCGTGCGAACGACCTGAATAGGTACCTAAAAAGCCTTAGAAGCAAAAGAACGAAACACAGAAAGAGCAGCGCTAAGAGGGCAAGAGAGAAAGGTAGGAGTAGAAAAAAGTGAATACTTAGCCCTTGACTGGGGTAGGGAAACGAGCCTCAAGAGCAACCTAAAAAGCGAGAGAAAGCCCAACAAACGACGAAAAGCGCAAGAAGGAAAGTGGGGGGGCAGGGAGGGGGTGTATGTCCATGTGTGTGTACATGTGTGTGTCTGAATACTTAGCACTCTAGAGTTACTGATTACTTAGCAGAAAAGAATTAAGTGCAATAGTTAGGGAGCGGGATTTTAGTCTTAAACCGCCCGGGTAGAGAAGACTAGAAAAGGGACAACAGAGGGAAAGGCACCGACACACACAAGTGTGCCGAGTACCATTTCCCTCTGTTACCCTAATTAGGTAGGGAGTAGAACTCGGCGGGGAGGGAGGGGGGTTGGGAAACATGGCATGCCTGACCTCAAGTGGAATTCCGTTTTTTAGCCCGGCGGCTGTGGTATCATGTCGTGCAAGCCCGACGGCTCTTGAATCAGTTGATTCAGTTATGAAAAGGTGGAAGACAAGGTGCAGTGGACGAAGTAAATCCGTTACACGATTTCCGGAGTGAATTCAGCGCCCCTGTCACGGGGATCACACCCAGCACCCAAGTGGGACGGCTGAGCGGTTCACACTTTGACATTGGTTTTCAGTTAGCTCAATTCCCAGGTCGAAAATGGTGAGGGAACGGCAAGGCGAAAAGGTCGGCGAGAACCGTATGGTTGAACAATGTTTGCAATCTGACACACAAGCGGTGGGGAAAAAAAGGTTTGGGGGACGTATCATGAACCACCATGGAATCAAAACAGAAGGATTGGAACAGCGTACTCAACCGTTGAAGCAGGTACAGGTGGATGATCAGTCCACCCCTCCCTCGTCATACCGTAGCTTCATTGCGTACGGTGGGTATGACGAGCCGTACGCCCCTGCTTTGAAAACATGGAAAGCCCTTAGGGACAGGGTTTGACACACGCACATCCTCCAAGTTCCTTCAGCTGACAAGTGGTGAATGGAGCAGCTTGTTGGACGCCCCCTTGGAGATGAGGTTGCTGAAGGATCGGGCGAAGATGAGCGATGAGCTGCCACAGGCGCACTTGATGAACTGAATCAAACGCAGCAAGATCGCTCGTTGCTTTTCTGCTGTTTGAGATCAGTTTCCACAATTGGTGAGTGCGGGTTCCGCAAGAAAGCGGTCGAACCCATGGCATGAGTCAACATTGGTTTCGACTCCGCTCCTGCTGGGGTGTTCGTAAGGGATCTGGGTGAAGTGGGAGATCATGTGTGGCACACGAGCAGTTTGGGGCCTTGAGAAGAAGAAGAAGAAGACTGTGGATGATGGATGTGTTAGACAGAACAGGGAGACCCTCCAACCAAGGCTCGTGTTTTCCAGGGAACAGAGTCAAACGTGCACACATGCCGCGCTTGCGGTTTTTTCACTGCCGTGTTGTTTCTTTCGAGCAGTCTTGGACGGGGGATTCTCCTATTTCTACACGGTCCATCACGGTCCACTGGACGTCCTCGGCTCGAGGTCTTTGCCGGCGACGGCGGCTCTGCGTCCCATGTACATGTGGACTGTCCAGGGCTCTTTCGGATACATTTTTGCTCAGTTGGAGTTGTTGGGAAGCCACACTTGGAGTCGTTCCTACTGTGATTCCTCCAAGACCGGCCAGCGAGCGGCTGGCAATGGAACCTGAAACAGTGTAGAGAATCCGAGCCGGATCGTTCCCACCGCGCTCCATTTCCCACCCGCAGGACTCCGCGCCCATGGTGCAAATGTGCCACGTGGTGCATGGGATCAAGGCCCGAGCCGACCGAGACCTGTGACGACTGGCGTGTGAACGGTGGCTTCCACAGCAGTACTTCGCACCGAGACCAAAAACCCGAGACTCGCGTGGGCGGAACATTCAGTGGCTGGATTCAAGTTTGGATGTATTGATTTCGATGGCCAACGGGTGACAGCGATGATTTGAGAGGAACCTGTTGTATGTGCCTTTTCGTCACGGATGGTGTCTACAGTATGAGCATCGACGACGCATATCCACTAAGAGCACATCCATGTCACTCCACTATACTCCACTCACTGTTGCCTTTGAAAAAACCATTCAACATCCACCCAGAAAAAAGAAAGACACGGCAAAAACGAGGAAAACATGATGTCCAAAACGTCCAAAACGGCCGGGGAACTCCGACCGACGTGATCCAAACCAACGCCGTCGTGATCGAACGCGATTCTCAGATCTTCGGTGTGGACAGCAGCGGCGAGGTGAAGCCCTGGGTGACCAGAGACTCGGAATGCGGTGCTTCCGGACTGGACCGGACTGGACGAGTATATACCCATAGCACATTCTAGCACCATACTGTCTAAAATGCGGAAAGTAGGCTCCTAGACCAGAAAGCAACTCCCAGGTGTTTGAAAGCTGAAGCTGTTTTAATATCGAAGCGGTGCTTCCTCTGTCATTGGCTAACTTGGCCGCCGTTGTGCAGACAAGGAGGGGGATCATCGTCTACTGATGCCGAGGCAGGGTCGTTTGAAGTGGGTCGATGGCATATGATTCAAATGATCATGTGAGGAATACTCAAGTGTCTCTGCAAAAGGACACCTTGGGGAGTTGGAGGATATTAGGGTGCACATGGTTGGGGATGATCATAATATGATGAACATGAGGCATGTGGGGCTTGCAGCTTCGCAATCCTGTAGGGCTGCAGGTTCGGCGAGTGTCCTTGCAACCATTTCTGTTATATATATATACACACACTAATCGTGTGTGGAACACTGTAACAGGTGTGAAAGTTTGCGTGATGAATGCAGAGTAGTGAGCTATAAGCTATATATTTGTTTTCTGACCAGCCTAGCCGGTAGACAGTCGTAGATGTAGCACAGCACTGGAGACCTTTGAGTCTGAGGCTCCGAGAGAAGGTACACTTTCCAAGCGCCTGTGCATTTCCCAGAGACTTAGAGAACACTGAGGAGGTGAACTCTAGGTCACCTTCTGAATTGTTGCAAACTTGCTGCAGGTGGCCCTGCCGGTTGACATAGATCTGGACCAGGCTTCAATGCGTGTCGTGCACATACACACGCCGGCCAATTACACATGCAGCCAATGCACACGTGAACTCGACTTGTGGGGACGAGCATCACATGGTAGTACAGCTATGGTCACCTCACTGAGCATGCAGGCAAGGTGACTTTCCAGTGTGACCTGAAGATCGTTGGCCATTTTACATAGCTCTGTCGAACAACTATATGAAAAACTCCTACAAAGAATCTCACAAAGGGGATCGCTTCGGTGGTCTTCTGGATGTATTTGGAATCGCTTCGGTCTTTGGTTTTTCGGACGGGTTTGGTTGGTCCACCTTTTTCTGTGAGGAGCATGCTGCTTGGCTTGCGAGCCCAAGTACCAGCATTGCAATGTGCAGGGCGGGAGACGTGATGCTCTTCTGGGGAGGTGTCTTTCGCGGGTTGTGAAGCGAACATGTAACATGTCCATTGTATGTCATGTGTTTTCACGTTCTCCAGTCAGTTTCAACTCGTTTCAACTCCCTTTGTTCGTTTCCCACCACCCGTGGTCCTCGGACCCGCCCGACCGCCGTGGGCTGTGCCAGGCAATCCCCACTTCGGGTCCAACGGGATGAATGCCGGGCCGTGTGTGGCCCTCTTTCACGGCTTTCAGCTGGAGACCTGACGGCGGAAACGAAAAAAGCACGGATCACGAGCCGGTAGCCAGCCAGTAGCTTTCTAGCTGGTAGAGGCCATCAAAAATGGTCTGAGGAAAGTCGAGCTGGTGATTACCTGGGCTGGTCAGAAGTGGCTGGTAGACTGGTAGAGTGGTGGTATGTGGTAGAGATTGGTAGAGTGAGTGTGGTAGGCTTCTTGATGGGCGACATATGCCATAAAGCTACCCAGGAAAAGTGGATAACCTGCAAGACATTTTTTGGGCATTGGTTTCAAATAACAGATGGAAAAAGGTTAACCTGTAATATTTTCCAGGGAAACTGAGGGAGTCAGTGTAGCAGTTCTTGAAATGATCGGGATGAAGGCCTTCTGAAGGCAGCAGAAGGGTTGCACAAGTCCTGCCGAACTTGCCAGGCTGAAAACGAGGTCCTTGCCTTGGTTATTTGCTTCAGGTTTGGTGTCTTCTTCCGCCTACATCTGACCAGTTTGGCCTTGCATCTGCCAAGGTGAAGAAGGACTATGTCAGGGGCTTCAAGCGCTCTGGCGTCTATGCCATGGATTGGGCAGGCCAACCGCTCGTTCGACCACCGCTCGTTCGACCGGCCGGTCCGGTGAAACCCGAGGTGACAAGCTCTTGGTCGCAGCGAAAGAAGGCCTGGGAACCCGACGGGTCTGGGTCGCAGCGGTTTGTGTGTTCCGGAGGTGTCACCTGGATGGAGTCTGACGATGTTTGGCATGGGTCATGAGTCACGATGGGCCACATGGGTGGGCCACATGGGTGTATCATCGAAGTCACGGGGAAGAAGTCACGAAGTCATTTTCTTCACACAGTCATTGAATCATTCCTGGAGCGGGTCAGGTCCTGGCCTTCGTTTGCACGACGTCGAAAGAGGCCTGACTTAACCAGACGGCCCGCGCAGACGGCGGGGGGTAGGGGTTCGTTTTGGGTTGACCTGAATCATTTGGCACTATGGGTTCTGGAAGTGCCCCCACTTCTGGCAGTTTTCGCAGCCCCTCCCACAAGCGTTTCGAAGGTCTAAGGATGGATCGTCCTATCGAAAGGAACAAACAAAAGTAGCTTGCAGCTTCCAGGCAGAAAGGGTGCATTCATGACTGCATGACTTATGGTAGCAGTGCATTTCTCAAATCTGACTCATCCTATGGTCCTATAGAGGACCAACTTACAGTATATATATATACTGTATATATTTGAAGTAAGTACTTCAAACGAACACATCGGTCTTAGGCACTGTGATGGTGATTGGAAGCAGACGTTGTCGTTCAGACCTGGTCGCGCCGGCCAGGTGAGGAGGAGCGGACGTGGTCTGGAGAGCCTGCGACTGAGTGAAGACATGGGGCTGAGCGACTCGGGAAAAGGAGGATGGATCAAATGAGAATAAGATGAAATGCAAGCAGATACTCAGATACCCGTTCTTCTTTGCCCAAAATGGATGAGCGACTCGGGGCTTTGCACATGGGGGTTTGAACAAGGTGGATGAGCATTCGGACGGATCCAAACAACCCCTTTCTAGCAGCTGGCGTTGATTGGAGAGGCAAGTGGCACCCTCAGATCCGACGAATTCGATCTCAGTTTTGACAGGAAAACACTGGGCTTAAGGAAGGCTTAAGGAAGCTTAAGGTACTTTAGTTTCCCCACTTCTGAAGGCCTGATGGAGTGCTGTAGGATACCAACCAGGGGACAATTATTTGTTTTTCATGTTTTTTTGTTTCACCGTTCTTTTTTTGAGGGGCGCAGGCTACTTTTTTGGGAATTTGGAGTGTTTGTGGTGTCCTTCCATACATTTTCCAAGCGCATCATGTCATGAGTGTACTCATCGATACTATATAAATTATATAACCGCCGCTTGGAGCTCATAATGCTTGGAATACTGGTGAAGATGCCTGGCCCGATGCACACTTGCAAGATCTTGCAAGAGTGCATGTTCCACTTGAGGCGTATCAAACCAATTCAGTTGCCAGAAGCCTTTAAAGACTTGATCCCAGCTTCGGAGTTCGAGCTTAATTACTTGATCCGCACACAATAAGTGTGGAATTGCAACTTTGAATGCAATTCGCGAAAAGCATGTAGCGGACATTCCCCGGAGAGAACATTGTGCCATCAATGACTAAACCAAGTTTCATAGCCTGGCTGAGAGCGTCGAAACGAAGCCAAACAGCGTTTCATAGCCATTCATTTGAATAATTTTGAGGATTTCAAGGCGAGTCTCTAGACTGTCCACACAAAGCATCCTCCAGCGCTATGGTTTTGACTCACCAGAGAAGAAACATGTGCAAAAGAACGCCTGACAGGGAAAATGTCATTTATTGACTTCAACATGTCTTTCCCGGTCTTCCAACTTTCACCATGACTGCTTTGGTTTATGTGTCTTCTACAAATCTTCTAACTTTGTTTGTAAAGGACATGTTCCATTTTTCATATTTGCTACGTTTTTCATCAAAAAAACATTCTTCCTGTTTTTGTGACATGGAGGTCTTAGGATTGCATCATTTTGCATCAACTGTTTTTGAGCAAGTGGCTTGGTGATTTGCGCTTACCAGATATTTTCTCTGACACACTGACACACTACTTTTACCATTGCAGTATATATTATCGGACGCTAATTTTGTAGCCAGATCTGGCAGAACTCCTGGTGTTTGCATTTCATCCAGTTGGTCTCCTTGAGGTTCAAGCTCTTTGACACAAGGCATGCAAGTCAGAGGCTCAGCAGTGATGTTGCGGCTTGCCAAAGGTGCTTTGGAACAGAATTCCTTGGCCAGTCTTAGTACAGGCCTTCCTAAATCCTCGTTTCCAGGCCAGTCAGTCTTCGATGTTGACCTCAAGAAGACGTCCCCGTCTATGAAGGAGCTGCTGAGTTTTTGCGCAAACCACACTATATATTATATATACTGTGATTATATATATGGGAGTTATCCAAAAGGTCCTTCTTGTAAGGGTCTTTAATGCCGAGAGCCTTGGATGACATGATCGTGGGTCTCGCGAAAGTTTTTTTTCGAGTTCGCGAATGTTAATGGTTTTTTCGCGAAAGATTCGCGAAAGTATGAATTTTTATTGTATGTTCTTTGGTGAGCCTTCAGGCTTGCCCCATGCATAACCACATCCTTTTCTGACCGTCAGCAGCTTCAACTTTGGAATCCGTGTGATACTTCCTTCCTGTAGTCCACCCTATGTTATGTATGCCGTAAAAACCTCCAAAGCACAGGGATTATTTCGCGAAAGTTTCGCGAAAGTCTGGCGAAGGTTTCGGCGAATGAATCGGCTCCAGAGGAACCCCGTAGCCCATAGCAACCCCACAAACTGTATTTAGAAATCGAGTCCCTACCAGGTTAAATGGTTTCATGACATGGTGAACCCCCGCGAAAGAAAAACACAGGGTTCGCGAAAGTTTCGCGAATGTTAATGTTTTTTTTTCGCGAAGAATGGCCGTTTCAATAAACAAGAATATTGGACAACCACCATATATATTTAATTTATTTATAGATAATTTTGGTCTTAATGTAATTATAGAGATACATAAGAGGTAGCCAACAACAACTCACACATGCAATGAAAAAGAGAGCAATGTTCTTCATGACCTTGCCGGAAAGGACTTCTTAGCTGTGTAGATTAGACCCTGTGGTCCAAATGGATTGGTGCAGGTTTCCTCATGGCCCCACTGTCAAGCGGGGACGAGAGTCCCAAGATAAAACATCTTAAACTTCAACAATCCTGCAGAATCCTGCAGGACTTTCTCCAATTCCACCACCCCATTTCTCAATTTCGAACGGATTTTGTGTTTGAACAGTTTCTGCCGATCTTCCAGGACTTTCTGTATTTATGCTGGTCCCCAGACTCCACGAATATTGCCCTGAGCAATCGTCAGCAGCTGAGCGTCGTTCCGTCGTTCTGAACGAGATTCATCGAGCGATGCAGACGCTTCGTTGGTTCTGAAAAAGCCAAAAAGGAATCGATGTGTGACGTGAGTGGCCGGGATCAGCATGTGGGACCTTCTGATTCCACCGATTCCACCGATTGCAGAATTTCATAGAATTTCTCACTGGACCAGTTCCAGTCTTCTCACATCGAAAAGGGATGAGATGTCTCACACCGGCGCGACGTACGTGGTGGGTTTGTGCTGTCCCCGAGGGGCCGATCATATCTATTGCCTCCATTTAAAAATGGTCAAAGCCAAAGAGAACAACTCCCTTCGACTAGGCGCGCTCGGCGGGTGGGTGAATTCCTTTGACTTGACTACGACTGGAAGACATGTTTTTTCTTTCTCTTGAACGTTGTAGATGTGATCATATATACATGCCGACTGTGTTTCAGGTTCCTCCAAAATGAACATGAACATAGAGGCGGGAACATCAACACAAAACAATTGATGATTTCAGTGGGTTCGTTTTCATGACATCCTAAAAAGCCAATCTTTGATGAGCCGCGGTGGGCCGCACGGTCTCAGGTGAACCAAATGGTCTACAGTCCATCAGGTGATAGCCTTTGGGTGGCGACTGGAGGTACTCCAGGCGCAGCCGGTGCCAGGGCTCAAGCCCACAAAAAGCATCAAAAAGCTAGGGACAGGGAGTCCTTGCCCCAAAAAAGCCTGGAATGGGTTGAAGATTATACAGTATTATACAGTGGCCTGCTCCAACAACCAGAATTCTGCCTGCGAGGCAAGCTGCAAATTTTCCCCTCAAACTCTTTGCAGACACCCGAACGAAGTGCCAGGGCCTCAAGATCCAGACGTTTGTGATCACGAATTCCAACGTGTTTTTACGATCTTTTACCTCTGGATCCCTGAGGTTGTGGCGCACAACTGGGTGGCCTGGCCAGCAAAAAGGTGGCCTTGTAGAGACCAAGAACTGGTCCTTTTGATTCACACGGGCAAAGCCGTGGAAACCGTTTGAAGCCGTGTGACACCTTGTGTGACACCAGCATGCCACCCAAATCGTGCGGCTAAGACGGCCATCTCCTTGGCGCGTGACCCCACAGGCAGGGGAATGGGTCCAAAACGCCTTTTTGTCGTCCTTCGTGCTTTGGACTTCAGTGAACTGGTTCCAGATAGTTGGTCAAGGCACCGAGCTTACTAGCTTCTTGTTCCTAGTAGCGATGGTCTCCAACCTAATAGCGATGGCCTCCACCTAGTAAGCGTCCGTTTGTCAACCCGCTTTTTCCCGGTCATGGATCTCGGCGGGGGGGCATCATCGCCCGCTCCGAGCGTCGATGACGGTCGGGTGGACACGTCGCACACCGGTCATGACCGGTGTCCTCCCGTGACAGGGATCAGATCCGTTTCCGCGGTGTTTTCAGTGGGGAGGAACAGTCCAGTCCAGAGACAGCTGTTGGGTGGGAGTCAGAACGGGAGTCTCCGAGGCAAATACATCTGCAGTGGTGGAGCTGATGGTCTCATCACGGTTTGGGCCGTGCGCTTAGCGTGTTTCACCGTTTCTGAGAAGGCTCTGGCGTGGGACCGATCGTTTGGGCATTTCCGTTTCCCCGAAGGAACAAATACGCAGCAAAGACCAATCGGCCCGTGGCTGGGTGAACCTCCACTGCCATCCCTCCAGGAACCCAGGCAGCCGCTGTGCTTGAGATGCTTCTTGCATCCGGGGCAAGTCGCAAGCTGAGGGACCACTCGGCTGACTTTTGAGGCATTTTGCTATTTCGCATCAAACATGTGAGCAAAAGCCAGTGAAGTTCTCGGTTCACCAACTTGTTTTAGGTTATTTCCAACGTGGACTTCAACTACCAGGGCAGTTTGATTGCTTGGGGTACTGGTGCAGGCCACTGAGCCTCATCATTGGCCACGTGTTGGCCACGTTTTCGCAAACCCTCCATGCCTCGCAGGCGAGCGAAGTTTGACGCTGATGGGAGCCAACACTGCTATCCCGCCATGACCTGTAAGTTTCTTTGACACGGAAGTACGATGCATGAGCTATGATGAGCTTAGGTATTACCAGGACCTGACACCTGCAACGGTGACGCAGTTGAGGCCGCGTTTGTTCACCGAAGACTGAAGACTGGTGTCCACGACTGCGGCAGCTGAAGAGATCATGAAGGGAATATCAATTGTTATCGACCTTCTGCCCACAGGTGGCATTCGAGCAAAAATGCCGGAGCCTCGCGGCCTTGCGGCCAGTAGAGATGCAGAAAGACATAGAAAGAGGATGAAAGAGGCCTTGGTATGGCCGGTATGGTCAACCAAGAAAGAAGTCTGCCACGGTTGATCACGACATACCGCTGCACATTCGTCTTGAGCACGGGAAGTAGAGGTCCTTGCGTACAGCCTGAATGCCAGTCAGATGTCGGACGAGTCTGAGCCTCAGCCAAGTTCAAAAGTGATTTGTATAGTGAATTGCTTTGAAGAGAGGCTGCTTTTTACTCATCTACCACACTGCAAGAGGGAACTGTCCCCCCATTGCTTGAGCACTAGAAAGGGGTTGGCCCATGAACTGGCCCTCCTCAAAACCCCCCAAAAACGCGCTGCCATCCCTCTATCCTCCGCCGCGTTTCATGCGTTCATGAACTCGCTCCTCGCCAAGTCGACCACAGCGTGATCGCCGTGGCTACAGCAAGGATACCCCGATCATCCAGCTTCTAAAGGCCAGGAACCGAAGGTCCAAGTGGCTCGTGCTAAGGTCCATCCGGATTGTACATGCAGGTTACTAGGGGAAGCATCGAACACATATGTGGATGTCTAGCGGTCACGTCCATTCGGTGGATCAGGCCTTTTTCAGCTGCAGACTAGGTATGACTAGGCAACAAAAAGATCAAAGGAGCCAGTTGGCATCTTTCGATTCCAAGTTCTAGCATGGCCATTTGTCCGACTCCGTCCCTCTGAACCGCCTCGTCTTTGCGTGATGCTTTGCTTGTTTCACGTGCAGCTTCCGGATGATCTTTGACGTGGCTGGATGCTGGATGACCAGAGAGAGGTCTGGAGTTAGCAAGGAAAACAGAGCAGCGCTGTACTGAAGGAGAACAGAGCAGCTGCAGCTGAGATATCTGCAGATCCAATTCGGAAACCCCCGATTCACCGAAACGGTTTCAAACCGTCAGTGACCGACCGCAACGGTGACCGCGTTGCAGTGGCTGTTTTCGGCTCAGTTGGAGCCCATGATTCGACTTCACATGACGCAAAAATAGCAGACTTCACAGACGTGTATATAATTATATATTCCCATCGTTCCACACAAACAGGCCCACTGTAGATCCAAAGAGATGAACACACCTCCAACCAATATAGAACCAGCCCCCAAAGAACAATCTCTCTCTCTCTTTCTGTTTTGTCGAGAAAACTCTCGCCATGGCTTTGGTGAAAACCATTAGCAAGAAGACAGAGTTTGACGGTTGTTTGAAGCTGGAAAAGCCGCGGTCCCAGCCGACAGTCGTGCCAACAAAAAACGTGGGTGCAGCACCCTGTTTAATCGCTGAAATGGTAGGTTATGCAGGAGCAGGAAGGCATGAGTTTAGACTTTGGCATAGACACTGACCAAAACTGCTGGAATTCCTGTCCGAGGCTGGTGGTCTTTTACTTCTCTGCCAGCTGGTGTCAGCCTTGCCATTTGATGGCACCCAAGTATGCAGAGTTGGCCAACATGCCGGTGGCTTGGCTCACCGAATATGAGCTGAAATTGTCTCTTACTTACACATCCTGAAAACTTTGACCCATCCCCACACTGTTCCAAAAGAGATCTCCTTGCCACCTGGACCTATACTATACTTGGTTTATTTGGTTCCAATTTGCAATTCTCTTTTCATTGGAGAGCCATTGCATATTTACGTATATTCAAATACACATTTAGTATCATTTATATAGTCATATTTACATGTGCTGTGCACATATATTGGTACCATATTATATATGTATATTATATTATGCTTTGCGGACACCATCGTATTAACCGATTCTGTTTACTTGAGGCCGGACCATCCGTTCATAGTGTCGTTGTGCTATTTGTGTTCGATTGTTTGGAGAAAAGATGTCCCATCGACGACCGACACGCTTTCATCTCGAACCTAAATGGATCGATCCTCGACAAACACGCAGCTGTGGCAGGAAGTGCGAATGGGTCGCGCTGTACATGTTGCAATATGAATTTCCAGTAGTTTTTGCGAATTCATTTTGGTTGCTTGAGGATGGAAGGTGTTTGTTTTTGTGTGCTCCGCAAAGTCGACCCCTCCACCGTGTGACCACGGTAAATGTAGCTACTTCGACGCGCGGAAGAACTCGCCTTCCGACGGAACTCATCAAGGGCGACACGCGAACGAACAATCCATTTTGTCATTTGCTGCGAGGAACTCGTCATCCCCAGTTACTTAGGAATTCGTCAATATCGAGTTCGTCACGGTCGATGTGGATGAAGCTGAGGAGACAGACTTGGGCGTGGACGAAACGGACAGTCGTGAGTGGCAGTGTGTCAAAGCCTTTGCCACCCAACCCTGGAAGGCTCATATGCCCTGGTAATTACTCTCCCACCCACTAAGACGAAGAGGTGTTCGCATGTGTTCACACTGTTCGCAGATCGCCTATGCCATCCACTTCCTCTTCTGTTCCTTTGGGGTGGTCAACCGTCCGGTCCCCCCGGCTGGGTCCGCTCATTTGGGGGAAGATGCACCGAAGGAAGATGAACCCAATACCTGCCCAGCGGGCCAAGGGATTGGAGTCCCCAGCCGTTCATGTAGATGTTGATCTATCATATTCAAAAGAAAGCTTCATGAGAGAGGGAGAGAGGGCATGGTTTCAGATTTACAGAAAGGCGGCGTTAAGAAGGCAAATCAGAACAAGAAAAACAAAGGCAACGCAAACACACAAAGGCAATACAAGATACAAAAAGGGCCAACAAAAGGCAAACAAGCAAACCAAAAGAGCCTTTGAATGCATTTGAGCACTCAAACAAACACAAGAAGAACATTTTCACAACTAGTTTCACAAGCAAACGCGTCAACTTTCACAAATTGCAAGCAAGAAGTGAAGATAACACTCTCGCAAGGCAATTGTTCACTAGGACAATCCATCAAATGACCATGATTAGCGAAGACAAGCCACACTGAACAAACCCCAAACTACAAGTTTATCCCTTCTCATTAAATCCTGGTTTCCTGTGTGTATCAAGGTCTTTACATGCATGTACATGATACGAGCATCATATCATGAGATTTGTGAGAAGAGGGAGACTCAAAAGAGATGTAGTGGATCTCAACCCCCCAAAACATCATTTGCACACTTTCAGAACATGCAATACCAAGTGAGTCCTGAAGTTCAAATCAGCACACATCATCTTCAGGAGGTGTCACCCGAGCGGTTCTCGTTGCAAGAGAAGCTCCTTCGTCCCACCTCGTCCTCGAAGACCGAGGGGTCCGGCGTCCGGTGAGAAAGCGGACCGAGGAGATTGCCGATGCGGCTGGCATCGATGCGGTGCCCACCTTCCAGATCTTCCGTGGAGATGCTCAGGCGGTGTCTGTCAAACGGAGCACGGATTTGGGAGTGGGGCGGATCGGTGCCACGGTGCTGGTGGCTGGTTTTAGTATGTTGGACCTCAGTGGTGAGTGGGTCTAAAGTCTACTTCTGACATCCTTTCCTTTTTACGAATCGAGTCGGGTGGGCAAACTGATGTGTCAGCACTAGATTTGTTCAGATTGGCATTGAAGGAACTGACGGAACATGTCAGAAGTTGGACATCGAAAAAAAGAACCATGACGACGTCTCAGAGTCTCAGTCGACCACCCAATGGGCCCAACGTGCCGTTCAGTTTCGCATGACATGGGACCACATGGCCCCATGTCATCGCCACGCAGCAGATCATGCAGAACACCCGCTGATGATCGAGAATCTATGGATGGCATTTATGCCGGAAGGATCCGGAAGGGATATCCAATGATCTTGCCAGAACTCTGGCAGTCGGCCTAGGAAAATGCATACAGCAATATACAGCAATGAACTATCTTCACTGAATCACCTCACCTAAGACTCCTAATTACAACCTGTTCATACCTTCGCAGTCCTTCGTGATTCTGGTGGTCATGGTCATCCGGTCTCGCTCTCGTTCCACACGACGCGAAGTGCCCATCTCGACCGTCAGTTCGTGTGCGCTCCCCACGACCGGAGACGGAGCACACCACTGCTCGAGAGTGCAGGTGGGTGAAGAGCTCGTTGGAGCTGACGAAGTGAAGCTGAAGGATCGATTAAAAGAAGTGATCCAGCAAAAACCCGGGATGAGCTGATTTGTTGTCAACTCAACTGGCTGCACAGATAGTTTTTTGTTGGAGAGTGACAGTGATATGTTCTGGCGGGCAGAGATGGGTTTTGTTCATCAACTTTAGTCTCTTCATAGAGAGCACCCTTCATTGTGGTGTTCACGGATTCAATTGGTGGTGAAATCAGTCTAAGCCCAAGTCTGTTTTCAACCGATCTAGGATCCGCAGGACTTGCGCCGGAAGGACAGTGCTTTGTCACCGGATCAAAGATCACACGTCATGATTCAACATGGCTTTGGCCATGCTTCTGCGAGCATCTGAACGATGGCCGCAAGGTTTCACCTGTGCCAACAGCGCGAGTGCCACCACATACAAAGGGAGCACATTTGGCTGGAGTTGTTCAACTGGAGTATTTCTTGGAGTTGGAGCACGTAGGTCCATTCGAACGACACGATGTTGCCGACTTGATCGAAACTCTTCTTTTACGTTTATATCAATCATTTCAAACCTTTGCCTTCTCGCGACGGCGTGCTGTTCCCCGACCCATGACCCATCTGTGCCAACGAAATGCGTCAGAAAAGGGTCGTTCGTTGGTGTCCGGCTCAAGCGGGTCAAACCGCACCGATTCATTCCGCAGAGTCTCGGCTGCACGTTGAAACGCCCCGAAGACTTCTCTGGAGACCTGATCTAGCAGTCCCAGCGGTGTGTAGTAGATACAGCAGTCGCCATTTGGATAGAAAGCAAAGCTAAATCCCCTTTTTACAGGATGTATTTATTGAAACTGCTTCTACCTGGGGACCTATTGTTGAAGTTTGCTGTGTCAATTTGCATCCGTGCTGATTTTTCCTAAGGAGAGGCTCCACCTGCACCTTCCCAATGCAACATGGCTGTAGCTTTGCAAATGCACTTTGCAAATTCAGTGGTTCTGTGTTGTTCTGGACTCCATCATAAGATTTGTGATACTATATTTATGTGGATTTGTGCTGAGCAACGATCTCTACTAATCGAACACACCAGATCATCATGGTGCTGATCCCGAAGAAGACCCGTCGCC